CATGCGTGTGACGGGAAACGGAAGCTCTCGGCGGTCCGTTCTTCGTCGAGGCTCGACGGAATACTCGCCGTTGCTGGCCCGCAACGCGCAGTCGATGCAACAGACAGCGTTTTCCGCGCGGAGCATCGATCGTCCTCTGGATCTTTGTCTTTCTCGTCGAGTCGTTCGATCTACCAAGCGTTTCGCGTGCTTCCAATGCTGAGGAACTCGAGTCGCGTCGGTGTGGAGGCTCTTGTCAAGTGTTTCATATAGATTGCTAATTATTAACCCTTTGAACTCTAGGCTCCAATATTGCACCAGTTGTAATATTAACCCTTTGCACTTGAGAGGTGACTTTCACCGCATGATTCGATACAACGAAACTATGAAGTTGAATATTTAATATTTCAAATTAAAGTTTGCTACGTGAAATATTTAAGTAAAACACCTCTGTTGCTTAGTTTATCTATGAATTATCGTTACATTAGTTTCAAAGAGTATGACCTATATCTCGTCAGAAAATGTTCAAAATGGTCAAAGGGTTAAATATTTCATTGAATCTTAAAGAACCTACCCTAAAACTATTCGATTTTCCATACATAGGAATTCTTCCACTGAGAAGGAAAATAAAATTTTCACTAGGACTCATCATTTTCGCTAGGAATATAAAAATTAGTCGCAGTTGCTGATAGATTACGAAACAACCTGGAGTGCTAAGGGTTAAGTTTCAACTTTAAATTGTTTTATTCTAGTAGTATACTCATTGTCGACGCGCGTCGAAGAAAACGACTCAGCACTGGAACTCGAATTCGCGTTGCGATTCTCTAATGTGACAGGCTGTCTATCGGTGAATTACTCTAATTATATCTAGTGACAACGGTGAAACTATCGTGGTCTTTTGATAGAACAGTGGACCCCTGTACAACGTGCATACATTTCATGTTATAAATTCTACGCAGAAAATGAAAGACTTCCGAAATTCCAAATTCTTTAAATTTTCATCATCGCATAATACCGGTGACGTCAGCTTTACTATTCACACGTAAAGCGTGTGAAATGGAAATAAATCGATCTCACGCATAATTCTGGGGTCCGCTGTTTCAACGTACTTGCATTTATCTAATTATCTTATCGGTTAATTGGCACGTCGAATCCAAACGCGTCTCACGCGTGAATTTACATCGTGATCGGATACCGTGAGACTCGCTGTCGCGACGCACGAGTCGACCGTGCGACAAGATGGAGGACGGGTCGCGATGCTCGACGTCGAAAGCCGCGGTGTACGCATGCAAGGAATGAGAAGAAACATGTCAACGTGCAGTGATATATCACGTGCGGATGCAACAAGACGGAGATACAGCATGCACGGGAGCGTTCTCGTGGATCGGCTTCTACGTTCGTTCATGCTGCGGCCGGAGGCTTCGCTTCCTAGAAGGCTGACCGCGGATCTCCCCCTTCGTTTCGCTCGCGGCGGAGAGAAGTTCGTTCGCAAACGAAAGAAAAAGAACGGAGCCAGAATGAGAAAGGAAACGGAAGACCAGAGAGAAGAGAGAAAGATCAACGGAAAATAACAATCGACGCGACACTGTCCGATGTGTCCTGATGATCTGTATCTTTCGTGTGTATGCGGCTACTTGATCATGGTGTGCGTGATTCCTTGGTGTCTCGTGTTGTGTGTGTGTGTCTCGTGTTTCATAGACCAGAGCTTCGGGAGTTAGCTGAACGACGAACAACGTTTTCCGGTTCTCTCGGAACTTCGTCAACTCGTTTCGTTTCGTCGTTAAACCGACTTCCCGTCGCGTACGTCGCTACCGATCGAAACTGCGGAGCAAGGTTCAAGATCGGAGAGGATCGTATTATTTCGAAACGACGCGAGATCAGCTTTGGGAACGATGAATGGAAGAAGCTCGAGTTTCAGAGTGAGTTCTCTTTGATACGTTTCCTCTTTGAATAGAAGCTTGCTCCGGGAGTTTCGACAGTGCGCTTCGTCTTGATCGGATTCTACTTCCGGAAAGGTTCGGACGAAAGATTGCACCGTAAGAAAGATCTGCGGTGCAAAGGTCCTGCGGAGTCTCGTGTCGAATCAAAGGATTTCGGCGAGCGAGGAGACCAGGCCATGGGCGATTGAAATTTTCGGATCATTCTGGAGCCTGGTCTCCTCGCTGACCGAGAAATGCGCGTGATCTCGCGCCGACTTTCTAACATCGTGTTCAGAGGTGAACGTCCACCGCGTGTATCTAATTTAACGAAGGAAAGGAATTCCGTCGCGATCTGAGCGGAATGTGACGATACCACCGGTTTGACGTTCAACCGCCGACACGAATGGTTTACCATGGATTCTCAACGATCTACGTGTACTGTTTCGATAACAAAGTTCTTTCCTACTGGTCGAACAATTCATTTCTCTTCTATCATTGATCACAACGAAAGTCCATACGATTCTCGTCGAGAAAATGCTACGATCAACGCGTCGCTCGGAAGCCAATTTCGCCAATTGTCTAGAAAGTAGACGCTCGGGAAATCAATGTTTCTGAAATGATACAACATATTCAGAAGCTATAGATATAAATTCATGAGGTAGAACAAACGAAGAACCGAATCACTGAACAACCAAACGGCATTTATCCATGAAAATTCAGAATAATCAGAAAACCTGGGAAATTGCATAACAGCGTCGGCTTCCGAGCAGCTCGCGTATCATTCCAAAACGAAAGAACTTTCCTCCAAACAGGATGTACGAATCCGCCGGAGTTCAGTCGACAGGATACCATCAAATCTCCAAACGAAAGGGAACAAAAAAGGGAAACAGAATAAAAGGAACAACGCTCTAATTCAGTCTAATAAGCAGAACTTACCGCAGGCTACGGCCGAGAATCGATCCGGCGACGCTTGTACCCGATTCTTCTCGAAATTTCGTAAATTTCCAAAGAATCTTAAGAACTTCGAAAGAGGAGGACGATCTCGCGATCGAAACGGAAATTCGCGAGAAGCGTCGCGGCTCGTTTCTCGGCGAGGACCGGCCCGCGAGCGTCTTCGACGCGCCACGGTGCCGGTTCTATGGTTTCTAAGCGCGTATCATAGTAATACGTTCTCTCGATAAGTCGGTTCGATGAGGGGTTGGTTTGTTGGCATGGTGGAGCTTACCCTCACGCCGAAAGCGGCGATCTTCAGTATGCACTCGACGGTGAACATCCCCGTGAAGCACATGTTCATGTACTTCAGCGTGTTCTTGTACACGTCGCTTTGCCGATGGAACTGCAATGCATACACTGACAAACACACGGCCGAACAGAGACAGACAAACAGACGTACAAGCGTTATAGAGAATCGACGCGGCGTGTTTTCCTCGCGGACGCGGCACACGGACGCGCGGATCCCCATTCCTCGCCGCGTTGTCGACGTTAATCGAGAAAGGGGACGGTTTCCTCTACTTTCCGCTCTTTTCCTCTTACACGTGCTCGCGCGCTCTCTCTCTCTTTCTCTTTCGCCTCGGTCGCTGTCGAGCCGATTCTGATTCACCGTTCGACGAACGGCGAACGGCGACGAGGAATCACTCGTATTCTCTCTATATTTCGCTTTGTGAAATATAAGTTTCATTAACTATTACCAAGAATTCACTATTACCAAGAATCTATTCTTCATTACGCGATTGATTGATTAGTTGCACTCGTCTTAAAACTACCAGGTACATTGACTTTCGAAGACTCCATGGAAACTTCGAGGCGTCTATCGAGACTTAACCAGTTGTTTAACCCTTCGACTGCGAAACTTGGCTGTGCATTCTTCAGTATATTGAAATAAAACATTCAGGTTCTCCACATTAGAAGAATATTATTTATTTCTTTGCATTCTGCGTCGAATGAAGAATTTAGTGTACACGCTAAAAGTTTGACATTAACGTTAATGTTTCTTCGGAATATATCTGATCGTCTACTAAAGCAATTTTGACCAGTTAACTGTGGAATTTAGTTGGGAAAACCTCTGGTTCTGTAATAAAATCGAAAATGAAGCGTGTACTCGTCGAAGCACGAATGTAGAGTATATTCTAATGAAAAAAAGCGAAACAAAGAATTACATGTTTATGTAAAAAAATAAAGAATTCATGAAAAAATTAGTATCGTGTCAAGCTTTATGGCGTGTATACTCGTCAAACACAGTTAAGTGGTTAATTAACTCGTAATTAAGGTATACATCGTATCGCTGAATAATTTCTTTAACACTAGGTTCACGAAACGCGTCAATTTGACGCAGACTGAGTTTTATAAACATTATTTGGTAAATGTTTCAATCGGTTCTCATTGATAAATGAACGAATATCAACTTCCCCAGGAACAATAGAATAAACTGTGCAATAAATGCCCGTAAACCTAGTGTCAATAGCTTCTCGGAGAGTCTGTTATCTTGTTACTAATTACAAAAACAAGACATTAAGAACAGATAATCTTGACCTGGTAGTTTCAGTGTCATAGAAACAGAGAATCTATCAAAGCAAAAACGGTTTCCGACTGTTGAAACTTCACGAATCGAGTGAACCGTGGAATCTCGAATCAATCTCGATTCAAACGAACTATGACGGCTCACATGTGCAGAGGTTGTTCCGTTGATTCGAGCGTTCGCGAGGTCGACCGTAAGTGAAACAGGTCTGTGCGTGCTCGGCCGCGCGAAGGCTTCCAGTCCGTGGCGACGTCAGCGCGACACCCTGTACATGTGAGGCGATCAACTTGTGTGCGAAATCTGTAAGTTACACGGCTCGTGTGCGCGCGTGTCTGCCTTTTAGTCGACAGAGACGTAGAGCCGAGAGAGAGAGATAGATAGAGAGATAGATAGATAGAGAGAGAGAGAGACAGATAGACGAGAAAGAGAAAGAGGGAAAGAGAGGGAGAGACAGATAGGTGTATAATATTAGCGTTAACCTAGATACGTGTATCTGTACGACCCTACCAGGTGTGTACGGCGTAACGATCACATTAAAGAGATTGTTTCTTCTTTTATATTGCCAGGGTGAGTAGGGACACGGGTTCACAGAGTACTTGTACATTACGTGTTGCTGGTGTGTGCAACGGGGAGGCTATACCAGCTAGGTCGAACAATCGCGATGAATTCGTCATTGAAATATTCTACCTCTGGAGAAAGCAACGAGATTGAAAATCTTCCATCGGAGAATCCATAATTCCGTTAACACCAGGTTTACGGAGTGCGTCAATTCGACGCATACTGAATTTTAGAAACATTACTTGGCAAACGTAAATGTCGGTTTAGGTAATAACCTAATTTTAAGTCCCTAATTTCCAAGATCTAAATGGTCGAACATCGATTTTTCTAGGAGCAATAGAACAAACCGTAGAATAGACGTCCGTAAACCTAGTGTTAAAAATAATCGAATCTCCGTAATTATACACTTTTTCTCGCTTCCTTGTCATCGATGAATGCTTGAATACAGTACAATGCTTGAATACCGTACAATGTTTGAATACCAGGAAATACTGTATTCTTTGGTAAAAGGGAAGTTCGACGTTGCTTAAGCATTTCCATCGAGATCCAGCTGGTACAGCGGTCCTCCGATCGGGAAACACTCGTGTGCCAAGGATTCGAACGGCGTTCGACTGGAGAAAGTAGTGTCTGGGGAGAAGTGGCGGATAGTCGACCAAATGGGAAGAACGAGAGTCGCTACGGCAAAATAAACGATCGAAGGAAACGCAAAAGGCTAAACCGAGGGACGGAATACAAGAATCTCGGGGGAGGCGGAAGATTCGAGTTGGAGGTGGTCAAGCTTGAGAGCTCGCGGGGATGTCTGGGTACC